ACGTGTGCTCTTCCGATCTTGAAAATATCGCTTAAAAAAAAAATTTGAGTGATAAATCACGGTTTTTTTCCAAAAAATCGACTATAACTTTTTTGGACTTTATTTATGACAAATTCTGATGGCAGATTCTGAAAGAGCGAGAAATTTTACATCAGAAATGATGTGGCTAGAATTTTTTCAAGGCCATTAAAATAAAAAATTTGGCCACTGAAAAATGTTCAAAAAATGTGTCCGCCTGGACGTTAATGGGTTAAGGTATCATTTTAAAACTTCAGGGGTGGTGAGACCTCTTAATCCCGAACACAAAAAGCGCAGACAGATATGTGTTTAAATAAACGGGATGTATTCATGTCCTTCGCGAGTGCACGAATATTCAAGCTCGAAGAGAGAGGGACACGTCGCGTCCGCTCGAATTCAAAGGGCGGATAAATCTAGCCGCCCGCGCGTGCAAGCGTTACGGCGAAACAAAGTACAGACGGGATTAGTTGTCCGCCTTTATCACGCTTCCACCGCCTCACCGGCAAGTAAATATTCTGAAGACTGAGGCTTGATCGAGTTAGCGCGGCCCTGGAATTCGATAAAGCCGCGACAAGAACGTCGTTGCGAAGGGCACTTTCCATCCGGCGGCGGTGGCGGCGGCGGCGGCGGGCAAGCGCCGTTCCGCACGCTCGGTCGCCCTCACCTAAAACTGCCTGCCTATCGAGCTTGGTCGACCGAGACTTCACGGGGGAAAACTAATTATGGTTCCGATGAGCCGCAAATAGCTGCAACTACCTAACCTAACGCAACTAAGAGCTCTCTTCCCGGGACCCGCCTTCTCATCCTGCAGCCGCGAGTCCCGCAATCCCTCTGTAGCAAGCCAGTAGTTGAGGGTTGACCGACAGCCCAACTTGTTTGCATGCCACGAGGCAATTCTACGGTGGCTCTTTCATTAACGTTCTCTCTTGCCTAACGGCTAAAGCATACACTTCATTCTTTTGAGCCTTTGTTTTGGGGCAGCAACGTTAGCCTCTACACTTCTTTAGACGGATTTCTGGTGTGTTCATGCAGCTTAACAAGTATCTTTAGTGTATTACGGAAACAATTTAATGTTTCTGAAATTTGATATATGCATAAATATTGTAATTTTATAAAATAAAGTACGTTGAGAACAATAACGACAAAAAAATATATTAATGCAAATGCGCGCGATTGATTAGATCTTTAATTTATTTCTTCTTATTTATAGGAAAGATATTCTAAGTAATTAAATGATACCGTTTGCTAAATCTTATTTAATGTTTCAGCGTGCAATATCTGTTTAATTAATATGCAATCCAAGTGTGCAAGTTAAGAGAAGGCTATTAGTATGTAGAAGAAATAAATACTCTACGCAAGTAACAAGATCTCGATTCTACTTTTACTAGCCGTGTAAAGCCCTCGCGCGCGCAGCTACAGACTCCGCAGAAGATGAGCTGACAACCGAAGTTCCTCGTATTTCTCAAGAACTATTAAATTGAAGTTCTTCAGAGGTACGAAGAGGCGAAACTTTACAAAGAGCACGTTTATAGAATATTTTATTTTTGCGATTAAACGATCGTTTATTTGTTATCACGATAGATGTAATTTAACATTTCACGATGTTTGCGTTTAAACATACGCTTAACATAGAAACTGAAATGTAAGAAAAATTGAATGAATCTTAATAATCGCAATCTCAATAACGAATTATTTCGAAAGTTTATTTTCATTTGTAATTTACTTTACAATGTAAGTTTATTTCAAAATTATACACCATGATTATGTTATTTGCGATCGTAATAAATATAATATAATGACATTTGAAATGTTTCTTCAATAAAATAATTACTTTATATTTAAGTAATATTATGTATTTAAATAATATTATGTACGTTAATTATACTATTTGCTAAGTCTTCTTTTCTTACACACATATACTGCTTAATAAAGATAACGAAGGAGTGAACGTTTCAGAGAAAATTGATATGAAATCCGTACCACGTACCACAAACATTTCTCATGCAAAAAGTTAGCGATTGAGAAGTGACACTTTGAGAATCGAAGCCAAATGTTTATCGTTTCCGAGGACGAGAACGAAAATGATTTTAGCTTCAGCTGGACGCGAAAGAAAATATATCGACCTGCAGTAGCGAGCGTAGTCACGTAGCGATATCATGGTGCCGGCCAATAGCGAGTGGCCCCTGTTCATCAACGTTCCCAATAGTACCCCCGACTAGTTATACACCGCTATCGAGTGGATGTTGTTCGACGTTGATGCATGCATTATTCAGGCGGTGTATCCATTCATTATTCATGTCATGATCAATAGATGTCAACAGACCGCGATCTGTATCTGAGCACGTCGCTATGGCAGAAAGTGAAAGTGGAGGCCAAGCGAAATATACGCCGACGGGTCCAGAACCCTCTCAAAGGAACGTTGCGAATAGGGCGATGCAACGAATTTACGGCGGCGTATATCCAGCCCGGGGACACGATATAGAACGGTGAACCTTTGATTATGATAGAATTGACATGCGCTTAGGAAACTTGTTATCGTGGCGCAATTATACCGATCGACGACAAAACACGTCGCTTTCGGAATAGATATTCACTCCATATTTGTTAATTTACATGCGAAATAAGCCACC